TATACTGATTAATGTAAAAATAAATTTTCTACACCTATAATAAAAATAAAATAAAATAATTATTTTTGCTTAATTATCTTTAAAAAAATTATAATATTTAACAGTATACAAGCGCATAATTGTAATAAATAAACCAGTCAATAAGAGAAGCTTACGTGCAGGGGACGTGCCTTTAATTATCCAACGTTAATGTCAATTAAAATAAAGGCTAAGTTAATTAAAATTAAGTGTTTTTTTTAAACGATTACCTGGATAATTCTGAATAATTTCACTTGAAATTCCGATCCCAATCTGCTGCAATCATCCGCTCTCTTCCCCGTTTTCCAGTTCCTGGAGAAGGTGATTTGTCCATTCATTTGATCAATTGTCAAGAGAAAAACAACCACCAAAGCAACCAGATAATATCTTGAAACCATTTCTAGGAATATAAAATATAAAACCGACTTAAAACCTTCGATTATAATTAAAGAAACTTAAGTTAATTGAACGAACACGAATTAATTTAAGAAGAACGTCCACGTTTAGAACCGAAGAAGTTGACAAAAAAATAATAATAATAACAAATAAACTAATTAATTAATTAATAAAGGACCCAGTTTTTTAATAAAAGAAAAAAAAATTATCAAAGTTTTGCCGTTTTGCAACTACGAAGTTCTTAATTAAAATATAAAAATTAAGGAAGAAACTTAAGGATGGGGAATTAAAGAAGAAACTTACCTAAATCCTTGAGTGAAAGTCGACGTTCGGAGTGGGCAAAGTATCTAGATTTTCTTCAGCAGTAGTTCTTCTTATAAATCATGCCCGGGGTCACGTGGTTCGGCGATGTGTGTGTATGTGTGGGTAGAACGTCTTTCGGCCTGGTCACGTGATAAATAAAAATTAATATATATATAAAGATGAGAGAGAGAGAGAGATTAGACAATGCTTAGAAAAGGTCATTTTACGCAAGATTTTAATTTTTAAATCCATTTAAAATGTTTATTTTATTTAAGATTTAATGTATTTTTCGTCTTTGTCTACTCGATATTGCAATTGGAAATTTGTTTTCCTTGTTTTTTTTTCTGTTTTCTCTCCCCCTTCCCGATTTCTGTCCATGAATTATTTACGAAGAAGTTAATCTCGTAGGGATAAAGTGTTTTAGCATTAAAGCACATTATAAAGTTGGTGGAGAAAATATGTTGAAAATCATAGTGTAAATCGGTTTAAAACTGGCATTGTGTTAGGTTGCTTGAAATTTTAATAATTTACAATAAATAAAGGAAAATGTGTCCTTCTTATACAGTATATATACAGTATACAGCATATAAAATGGCATCTCTATGGGAGATCAGGAATAAATCGCCGAAGGAAAATTCAAAACATCTGTTAAAACAGATGTTTCGAATTTTTCTTTTCAGTGAATTTTTTTTCCAACCGATTACATTAATGCCTTTTATATATATTTGCGAGAAACAATTCTATAGTTAAAGCAAATTTCCCCTCCTAACAATTGTTCTATCCCCCTTTTATATACCTTTAAAGTAAAAAAGTACATAAAGGGGGAGAGTAATAAATAATTAAATTCAAATTCCATGTTACGTCTTGGAATCGATTTATCAACTATTTATTCTTTTTCCACAATAAAGATGGGTAAATTAAAGTTATTTTTATTCAGTTTAAACAATTATTTAAATGAATTTCTTTAATTTAAATCTCTAAACAATTTTTGTTTCTGGTATGTCGTGTGATGTTCCGTTTGCAATTTATATGCAATTATGTCGGATTTTTTTCGAATTTTTAAAGATTTTTCATTAATAACCGGCGATTAAAATGTAAGAAAAATGAACAAATAAATGGAGAATTTACTAATTTCGTTATTTGATCGAATTTTATTAAATTTAATCTGCGGGGAATTAAAAAAAAGAAGAAGAAGAAATAGTAGTATTAACAAAGGCAACTCTGCAAATTTATTATAACTAGTCAATTAATTAAATTTGTTGAATGTTTTCATTCAATTATATAGACAAATATCATTTATTGTGGCAAAAAATATCAGCAATTTTTTAATATATAAGCTAATTATCTTTATTCATTCTATCATTTAAGCATTTTCTTTTTAATTCCTTTCGTTTTCTCTAGTTTAAAAGAAAAATGCCTTTTAAATACAAATAAAGGCAAAGTTTTAAAAGTGTTTAATTAATTTTTTGAATATTTGTAGAATAATTTGTAAATAGAAATCATTTCTTTCGTCTCTCTTTGTTGTCGGCTTAAAAAATGCAACGAGGACAATAATAAGAAGAGAAGTCAGATGAAGTATTCACCTTCATAAATTACAAATAAAGAGTTAAAAATATATAAAAATAAAAGTCTAAGACAGCTAAAAAATAAGACAGAATATACTGATTAATGTAAAAATAAATTTTCTACACACTTCTTCATCAGATCAATCCAGCAATTCTGCTCAGAAAATTAAATAACTTCAACCAACGAGTTGCGTAACTTTCCCGGCAAGAGTTAAAACTGTTTGTAGCACCATCTCTTATGAGATTTTTAAAAAATTTGTTTTATATTGTTAATTATTAAAAAATGGCAAAAGGTTAATTTTGAGGGCAGAGATGAGTTATATATAGCATATATATACATAACTTGTTTTCATAGGTTTAACCCACTTTAAAGCTTGATAACTTTTGTGCTTTTTATCAAGCTTTAAAGTGGGCGAACAAAATCGTTCCCAATACACAAACGAACACCATACATACAGAAAAAAACCACCAAATTTTACTCCATTTCTGGTCGTTTCAAGGTCTCCCGTGTCCAAAAATGTAAAAGTCTTGGGAGGTCATTTTTTAACTGATCTCCACACTTTCCTTCTGTTAACAGCCAGAGAAGTAATTAAATCTTTAGCTTTTTAACACTTCTATTGTAAATTTTTTTTAAATATTAAAAAAATCTTATAAATTAATTTACAGGAGTATAAAGTTTCATACGTCATATATTATTAAATTGTTTATGAATAAAGTTTGTATAAGTTGAAAAAGTTTTATCCTCCACCCAACACTCGATTATTAGTTGTAATCCGACACCAATTATAAGCTTCATTAGAAGAAAATAGCTATTAAAAGACTGGTAAAAAATAATAAATAAGCCTCAGATCTAGTGGAATATCAATTAATTATTGATTTATAAATAAAATTATTGATAAATCTTATAATTATTATTTTAAAACCTACCTGTTTTTTTATTGCTTTCTCTGTAATATACAGTATCAAAAATATGACAGGTTAATGCCTTTTATTGCTAACAGATTGAAAATAATTAATTACTTCCTAAAGATTAAGGGGGAAAATCTTTTCTAGTCTGGGAGATTATAACTTAGGAATAAATAAAGCATAACAAAGGAATGAAAACTTTATCAAAAGAGAAGAGATCATAAACCAGAAAAAATTATTGTGACATTGTCACAATACCCGGGCTTCAATTTCTAATCATATTTTTTAAATTTATTTAATTTAAAATATATGCTCTCTATCTCAAATTACTTGTCTTGCCCCTGTAAATCATACTTTTCCTGATAACGACGGAGTCGTGCCGGTCATCTATCTAACTCCGTCCTGAAGAAAATTTTTGGATAAAAATTACGTGACTATTCTCGATAATATTGATTATTATTTTTTTTATTCTCCAAAAATATGCAAAAATTAATGTAATAAAATTCCCTACACGTCAAAAAACGTGTTACTATAGTAACAATACATTAGAAAGGTAAGAAAGTAAGCTGCGAGGGGAGTTGTTTTAATCGCTGTTATTTACTATAAACTAATTAAAAACGCGAGGAAAAACGTATATTGTGAGGGGGAAAAGGTATAAAAGTAATATTTTAATAAGTTAACGTTTTCTAACTCGATGCTTATTTAATGTTTACAGATGAATAAGTAAAATGAAGCAGAGTTTTTTCTTCCTGTTTTCTCAACTTGTTTTCATAGGTTTAGATCAATAACTTTCAACGTAAGAAAGTTATTAAGTAGAATCAGAAACAAAACTTGTCGACGTGACCGTTTTATGATAGAAGTTAATACTCCTGGGAAGTTCATTTTTAGAATCCACATCAATCGGAACCACTAAAGCGAACTTACTTAAATTTTAGATGTTTCCCGTCTTTAATTAACTTCTAAGTAATTAACGAGGAGAGAAAAGGAAAAAAAATTCATAAAAACGCCAACATTATATTAATATTTATTAATGTAAATAAATATATTAATTAATTTCGAATCATTGATTGATATTTAATATATATATTTTATGCAGCTAAAAGTTTCTTTTTTTATTTTTTTATTTTTTTTGTTAGTTTTATTATATATTTAAACAAACTTTCTTCGCTGTTAATTCTTGAAAAATCTGGAGAAGTAAATATTTGACTACGTAGACACTCGATTATTGCTTTAATAATAATAAAGGACTTAGTTTTCCCCCTTTCTTCCACTCTCTTTCTTCCTTCAAAGAATTTTTTTTTAAATGTCGAGTGAAGAAATAATCTGTAAGAGAATGATTAAAAGTAGAATTAAATCAATTTAACAAGTAGATTATTTTTAAAAATGTATTCAAATTTGCAGTTTTATTATCTAATTAATCTTATAAATGGTCGTTATTTTTTAAATAATTTTTTGAAATATATTAGTAGTGTTAAAGCTTATGTTCAACAGTATATTTTATTTGTTAATTTACAATTTTGTAATTTATTTATTTTAATTTTTAGGTTTCGTAACAGAGTAGTTCATAGTTATGGGATGAAAGATAGATCTAGAGGATGAGATGAAAGGCATCACCTTCAAGGATTTTTTTTTATCGATAACGGAAGAAATAACACATTTATATTTTTAGTATTTTTATCATTACTTTTCAATTTGTCTCATTTTTATGTTTAAGTCTATTTAATTTATTTTAATTAATTATTTAAACGATAAAACTTTTATATAGATATTTCTTTACACGAATTAAAAGTCATACCACTTCAAAATTAACTACAAATTTCTGAGAAAAGAAGCAATTTTCTCCCTCCTGAGATTTGCTTCGTTCTTTATTTTTTCTTCTTTGCTTTATTCGAGATTTTATAAAACAAAGAAATTTTGTAAGAATTATTCTCCATAAAGCCCAATGCAGGAGCGCTAATATTTGGAAGGACCTTGTATGTTTATCATTCATTATCAGACAGATAAAGATCTTACACAATAAGTAGAAACAAAACTGTTTAAGAAAAATGATTTTAATGAATTAATCTATTGATTATTACATTTATACACCCCGGAAACAAGAGCAATAAGCAATAAGAAAATTTATTGAAACAAGAACATTAAGCATATAAACATATGAAACAGAAGGCTAAGATACAAAATCCTTCCCTCTTGTTTCCTACTCTTATTGCTTAAGTTGTAAATATATAGGCCTATATAGTCTCTAATAATAAATGCAAGTGTTTAAAGTGTTCAATAATAAAACTTATTTTTCATGCAAAATTTATCTCCCTTATTTCAATTGTAGATTTACATAATCCAGGACACACAAAATTATTCAAGTGCATGTAGTTTATATAAGAACTGATAAATAAATATATATTTAAAAAAAAATTAATTAAATTATTGAAAAATTTTTAAAAATTTTCTAATTAATTTTTAATTACAAAAAATTAATTTAAAATACTTTATTTGTTTTTAAATAAAATTGAAATATAATTTAAAAATAAAATGTTTTAAGAGGATTAATTTAATGTAAGTTAAT